AGCACATAGCAAGAAAAAATGTATTTGACAAAATTTTTCTAATTTGAAATGCCACAAGTCAGGCATCTGAGTCCATATCTAGGCACACACTGATGATTTCTTCTTCCAAATTGATGACTGCCTGCAGCTACCACTGCTGCCATTCCAGRGGTGGTCTTTGCTCATAATGACTGACAGCAACTTCCAAGGAATTTAACTAGAAATCTAAACACATAACTTGGGTGTTTCAGATTTTAGCATGCTAGATATACCTTAGCAGGCCTGATTTAACAGATAGACATGCAGCCTTTTAATGGAAGCCTGAGCTTGTGTCTGGACAGGGACTGTTCTGTGCCTGAAACGTTGCGTTGCCCAAGTTGTTGGAATATACAAACCCAAACACTGGAAACAAATTGCTTATGTTACCACCCAGCAAACAGAGACAGAAGAGTGATAATTGTGTTGCAAAGTGTGCTGCTATGTATCTTAGCCTCCTGCAGTGGCTATGAAGCTGCTAGTGCATCACCATCAATGTGAAAGCCTGCTGTTTGGGCTGGCAGTGATGATAGAATCGGCTAGAATTGTTCTGTCTCTTTATTTCTCCATAAATGTGGAATCTGTAGAAGGGAAAGACATAGGGCACTGGTATAAGATTTTTCTCTGTTATTGATCTCCTAGAGATTCGTTTAGCCTTACAGCTGCTAAAACCATTTTCTACATCTGTGTCAAGAAAGTGGTCATACTATTCTGAATGTTAAAATTTTGTCTTACAGAAGACTGTGCATTATTTTCTGGTAAAAATCTCTAATATGCTTTCCTTTTGGATAGCAGAGCTGTGATAAGTAAAATGTATCACAAGGGCAAAAGGATGAAAAAACAAAGATCTGATGATTTTAGCGAKAGGAAGAAGGGGRARAAAAAAAGAAAATAAAATTTGCTCATCTCTCTTAGAACAAAATGTCTTGAAGATAGTCATGGAACAAACACTACTACCAAGAGACATGGTCCTGCTTACCTGAAAATGGAAAACACAGACACAGTGCTACAGAATGTATGGTTTCTGTAAATGTGTTTTGAGTGACATTAGTATCTTCTTTCCCTTGCCATTTTATGTACTGAGGTTGAATATTGTTTGGGAAAAAACAGTCTGCTGATATTTCTGAGAATCTCAGATGAGCATCAGTTAAATACTTAGCATTCAAACACTGGGGTATTTCCCCAGGATTTGAATCAGTGCTTGTTTATTTTTTGCATTCACAAAGCTGTAGATAGCCCTGGCTGTCTTTCAGAGTGCGCTGTTAGAAATCTCAGCTCTTAATATTATTTGTTGGCTGTGTTGCAGCAAATAAACAACCTTTCCTAAAATTATGAACTAAATGAACAATGAACATTAGGGGTGACACCAAGGGCCAAAAAGATGTGAGAAAGTAAAATGTATTGACAAAATGAGCTGGAATGGGAATGCTGCAGTCCAGCTTTCCTGTAATGCTGGCCTGGAGCAAGATCAGATAAAAAACAGTGTGAAGTTGTGTTTTTCATGTGGAGGGGGTTTTTAAGGCTGTTTTAACAGGCTGCACTGCATTTCTTGACTTTATCAGAGACTTAGAGCAGAAGGTGAGATTACTTAAATATTTCACTGAGATGTTCACTGTGTTGAGATTGTTCTGCTGTAAAAGCAAGAATAAAAAAGGATTATGGTTTGTGAGATGAAAATGAGGGAAAATTCCTTTGTATTTTTGATACTGTGTATATATAGTAGTAGAATGGAAAATCCTTACTCCCAGTGCAGAATCTATATGTGCTGAAACCACTAGACTAAAAAAAAAAACAAAACAAACCAACCAAACAACCAAAATTATAAATAAAATTATAAATAAAGATCTGCTGAGAACTATCACTGTGGCCAGCTGGTGTGTATGCAGTGTCCTTTGAATGGTTGTGTTCTTAGCCAGCCATGAAGAACAGCAGCTAGGTGTGTTCACAAATACTCATATCACTGCACAGTAACAGAATTTAGATGGGGCCTTTAGAGGTCATGTGGTCGACCTCTTTGCTCAAAGCAGGGCTGGATTTGCAGTTAGATCCACYTTTGGGTAAGTGCTGAGTGTTTCTCTGACTGGCAGCCTTTCAGGGCATCCAGCTCCATTGCTTGAACATTCTCACAGCTAATCTTTTTGTATCAAATAGGAATTTGCCTTGGTATAGCCTTACATTCATTGCCTCTTGTGCTTCTAAGTAATATTCAGGATCAGTCTGGCTCTGTCTCCTCCACAGCTACTGTGTAAGTAGTTGAAGACAGCAAGTAGATCCCTCCTTAATCATCTCTTCTTCCAGCTAAATGAGCTGAATTCCCTCAGGTTCTTCTTGTGTGTCATATGCTTGACGAATTGTTTTGGTGAACCTTTGCTAAAATTTGGTGAACCTTTGCTTTTTCTTTTACTGGGGATCTCACACAACTCCATTTCTTCCAGTGACCTGAGCTGAAATTTCTATTTAACTCCAAAATAGTTGGAMAATATCAATATATTTCCAACACATAAAGGGTGTATATTGTTGATACATGATCCACCTGTAAGATTTCTAAACCAAGAAAAACACGGTTCTAAAAGTTAAAAATGTTCTCCATACTGATTTGAAGATAAACTCAGGAAATGGAAAGAAAATGTGGTTGGAGAAAAGTCATGTTGATGGCAGGGCCACACTCTCTGAGGCGGTATCCATTCCAAGTTTTCAAGTTGCAGGTTGGTCTCAAAACACATCTATTATAAGAAGTTTGCATGGAGGAAAGTCTAAATTCTTCTCTTTTCATAGGACTTCAAATCCTTGCAGGAAGATATAGTCATGCCCATGTGGTCACCTTTCACAGTCATGCCTTCCTGGATCTTTTGCTTTTAAGATGCTCTCTGTATTCTTTGCCACTCTTGCATCTATAGTGTTGCATTTCCACAATGAAGGCTGTTAGGAAGTTTTTGTGGGTCTCTGAATTTATTTACAATCATCTTTCCAAGCTAATCTAAGGATGACCTAAGACTAAAATTGTTGAYCTGATTAATGCAATGTCCACTGTGAAAGGTTTAAGCAAAGAAAGAGCTAATGATCTCTTGAGATGCAGTAAATTTCTGAAAATAAAACAAAATGCAAAATTGGAGGGAGTTTTGAGAAAGTTGCTCATTTTTGTTGTATCAAAAGGTTGATAGAGAGATTTTGTAAAATACATAGAACTTCTAGAGGAATTATGGCTACATTAGGAAGATATGTAAGTGTAATACTTCTCAAAAAAGGTATGGTTTAGCTGTTGGGAATTGTAGTTCAAAAGCTGATCATATCTGTCACACTCAAGCCTAACAACTACATACTTGGTGTCCTTAGGAATATCTAAAGGATGATTAGTATGTGAATATCCTTGTACAATATCTTCCATGCAGTTCTGTGCTAAGTCTGCTGCCAGAAACCCCTTGAAAGAAAGGGATYATATATCTTCACGCTGACTTTTGTTAAGCTATCACCTACACAAATGATTACATGCTAGATACACTAATGTCCTTTTAGATTTCGGCTGCTGACCTTGCTGTGTAGTGCAGTGCAATGATGCTAGTTGGCATCAGTCGGTCCTCCAGTGCATAATAAAGCCCCTAGGCACATTTGAAGTCTGTCACATGTTGAGAACATGGCTGTCTGCTAAGAAAAAGAAAATAAGTGCCACATTTGATCATTATTGTGTTTTATAGCACAGTAACTGACTAAACAGGGTATTGAAAATTCAATAATGTATAACCTTGATTCTCCAGAATATGCAAGTACATGGTTGTATGTGTTAAACATTACAACAAACCAATATCTGAGATGCAATTCTGATTACAATCAGTGTCATTTGCCCTGTCCATCTAAATTTAAGTATCCAAAAAAGCATGCATGAAACAAATGCTTTCAGTTTCTTCATTCTTTAATCATTGAAGTAATGATGTAAACATTAGCTCTAGTAAATCATAGTATTGTGAATAATGCACAGATAATTCTCATTGTTACTTGTGGATTTTTAGAGCACTTTAATGAAGTTGTTGGAGAGTGATTCGCTCTGTCTTTTTTACTGAGCAAAAACTAGGGACCATATCCTGTGTGCTTCTTTATTTTGCTGTTCCAGAAGATACTAATTTTACAAGCTTGAATTCCCATATTGTAGAGGCATGGGGTCCTGCCATGTTTCTCGTTAACAGTGGCTTACACATTTCACGTGCCAGAAGCATGTATAAGTTTCGTGTAAATATTGAGGATATAATATCCTGATCTGAGAAAGGCTCTGAACATGTGCTAGGGCTTTGCTGAAGTCAGCAAGAGTTAAATACATGATTAAGAGTTAATCAAGGATATATCTGTCCTTGCTGAACTAGCAGCTCCGTGGTAGAAGGAATAGATTATACTTAATTCTTTGAGAGTATTTCTCTGTGGTATAACACTTCTTGCTTTGAAGAAATAAGAGTCATGATGTAACCTCATGGAGGCCTCACAGCCTCCGTTTAAGGCACATATATGTCTGTCTTTAAAGCAAAAGTTATCCTCTTCAGATGTTAATGAACTTGCCAATGTCTGAAGTAACAAAATAAGGAAAGAACAAAAAGACTGAAATTTTATTTTTAATATAAATTGATAAAAAYGCAATTTTGTCCTTATTTTTCCTGAATTTTCCCAAAATTCATTTGAATGTTAAAGAAATACAAATATTGTCTCTTTTATGAATTTTTCTTTTATGCACTTTTTTATAGTTCACATTTCTAAGTAGAAAAACGGTTCCCAAAATTTTAAGGATGAGTTTACATGAAGTCTGTTCAATAGATTCTTTGCATCTGATATTGAAGAAGGATGAAGCAATTGTTTGCAAATGTTGGATGTTTATCAAAAAGCATTGTTTCTTGACTAAAATATTGCTTTGTTCTGACCACAAGGGTGTGCAAATGCCTGCAAGTTTGTGTGTCTGCATGAGAATGCAATGACATGGTTATAAATATTATTTTTCTGACCAACAGATATTTCCTGGACTGATTCTCTCAGATATTAAGCCTGCCAAAAGAATGAAGTTCAAGACAGTCTGCTATCTGCTTGTGCAGCTCATGCACTGTCGCAAGATGTTCAAAGCCGAGATCCCTTTCTCCAATGTCATGACATGTGAGGATGATGATAAGGTAATCCATGTGAGCAGAGTGCACTTTTTGGGCATCAGTTCCAGGACTGCATCAAGCAGACCATCTTTGAGAATATATGGCGTGATGTTACCAAGTGATAAAGAAGTTTATAGTGTCCCTCCTGGAGCTAGAACAAGCTAATTCTCACAGTAATGACAAAAATTAATTATAAAAAGGCCTCAAATTTGGARCTGCTCTTGAAATAGCCAGCATAGGTGTCCTGTATGACTTCTATTAAGGGCTTCTTTCACAGGAAATAGAATTTCTGAGGCTGTTTCTATCCTTTTAAACATGTATTCTTCTGCCCATCCATGTCTGAAGTTGATGGTGGCAAATGCAAACCAACAGAATAATTTTGTGTCTCTAGATGGTTTTCTGAAATAAGAAAGGCAACTGATTTGCCAAAATCCCTCTTAGTCCTTAATACAAATCCTAAACATAGAAATCCTTAATACAAATATGAATTCAGCTTTCTTGGATGCCTGGTAATGCTGTAAATCAAGATTTCTTTACATACTAGCAGCCTGGTTTGCTTATTTCCTGTTTATGAATGCASTCAGAAATTTATGGACAAAAGCTTTGAGAGTTGCTTGTTCCATTTTCTTTGACAGCAGGTGGCAATATTACACAGGTCACTTCACCAGTGAGTGGTGGCACATGAGCATTGGAATCAGTAATTCAGCTTGACTGATTGCTTCAACTTTTCTCTCTTTTTTTTCATCTTTTGAAGATTCACTATAAATCTCACTTTCAGAAAGCATTTGAATTTTCATATTTTGCATTTTACATGAGCTTGTGTTTCCTCTGCAGGAAAAAAAGGGAGAAAAGTGAATAAATTCCTTTAAAACAGCTTTTCAATGAAGACACTCAGAAACTCCAGATTTTTGATTTTGAAATTGGCCATGTAGAAAGCCTTCAAATTGTGAGCTAGTGCTATCTTTGAGTTTTAGAAGAAGTAACCCACACATTCTTTGAAGCATATGTAATATTTTACATTGTGTCTTATGTATATGTACATATAAATATACACAGGAAATCCCCATGTTAGGGGGATTACTAATGAAATGATGAAATAATGAATGATGAAATTTTTTCATACCAGGATGTTGGCAGGGAAGTTCCACAATGCTATCTATTGTTCTGAGCTTTTGTAACTTTTATGAACACATCATGGATTTATATTATATTAATACAAATACACAGTGTCACTTCAGTCCTCAAATCATGTAAATAATGTAGAACAGGTGGCATCTTTAAAGGCCTTGAAGGCAGTACATTTATGAGAAGTATAACTACTGGATTTTGATGGCATATAAGACATGATATAAGTCAACTGTGAGAAATAATCATAAAGATACAAATAAGAGACCTAGAGGAAATTGATATAGGTAAGAAACAGCTATTCTGATTAAGAATAGAAGCTTAAACCCTGTTTCAAAGTGGCAGAATAGATAATACCATTTTTTCCATATATCAGAATAAGACTCTTATTCATCTACCCTCATTTCAGGTTTTAAAGTGAAGAAAGATTTATTTAAATGCTATTTTCCTCACCCCTGTTGGTATACTGTAGACTTTAWTTTGAATTGTAAAAAATCCCTGAAGATATAGTTCTGCTGCAGCATAGGCAATATATATGTTGACTAATTATACTTTATCGAGAGCAAAATTTGTATGTCTCACAGTATTCCAAAAGCACTCAGTTTCCCTAAAAATTAGTTGTACAAATGTCTTCTTCATGACAGCAAATTCATCTCTATTTAGAAACACTGAAAATAGTTGTTTCGCTGGCAGTTTAAGATGTCTAATCCATATATGTCCCCAAGATTAGTTTTCATGTTGAAACAATTCACTCTTACACCACAGGATTTGCCAGGTAAAGGGATCTAACAGTTTGAAAAAAAATGTGACCTTGTAAGTGTTTACTGCTGCTGTAACCTCCTCTCTACACGTAAAGCCAGCAAAGCAAGACTTTGAAAGTTACTTTATCTTTGCTAAGGCTCATTTTTTTTTACAAACAGAAAACTAAGGTATTAGTCAGCTGATAGCCCTTCCCACTATTCATGAGTATTCAGATATAATATACATATGAGCTATGCAAGGTAATGAACTGCTGTAGTTCACAATTTGTTCACTGATGAGGTACTTCTAAGAATCTCTTGTAAAATAAGAAAGGAAACTGCCATTCCTGCAAGATTATTTAGTGATCACCATCTTTTTTTACCATCTGGATTAAAAGGATATGTTGTATGGCCTCTAGAGTGGGCTATTGAGGACTGAGTGTTCTGAAGAGAGAAATTTTGTTTTCTTCTTTAATATCTTTCTAAGAGTCTACTTATTACATCCTGAGTAGACTTGTTATTTCATCATGTTTACAGTTATCTTGAACTCTGCAGATATTAGGTAAAAAATATTCCTTTAACTTTACAGAAATAGTAGAAATTGCCTGAGCTTGGTTGTCAAAACTCTTCTGGGAAGTAAGGCTTGGCCCCTGTCTAGTCACAGTAGTACAGATCTAGCCATAATGGTTTTGATTAAAGTGCTTTCAAGGGAAGGTGGCCACCAGGCTGAGATGCTGCTCACTGTCTTATGAGTGCATTCTGTGAAAAGGGAGATGGCTTGTTCCAAAATCCTTTTCAGATGTGCTCTGTGATAAATCTTTTCCATTGGAAAAGACTGTGATCATCAGTGTGCTATCTCAGCCATGGAGGAGCCAGTAAGGCACATGTTAGCTCTGGTAGTTTATTGGATGGCTTCACCTGGATCTGCAAGTGCACTTGAGGCACACTCAAGAGGTGCAAACAAGAGAGCCAGCTGAATTGAGTTGAAGATAACAACACTTGAAATTTCAGACCCTCTGTAGTCACATGTGGTCACTGTGCAAGACTTTAAGGTAAACTATATTTTTGAAATATGTATTGTTATCTAGACCGTAGAGCTTTTTCTGTATCATGAAGAACCAGGTTATCTTGTCTACAAGATGTTCAGAGCTCCATGTCTTCTGTCAAGAAAAAAAACTAAAACAAAACAGTCATGCAAGGTGAAGTCACCCTGATTGGGAGCAAACTGATTATTTCCTCAGTGGCAGAGGAGTGTCAGGGCCATATGTGGAAAGAATTTTCGGATTAAAATCCTGGAATGAAGTGGGGATTGATTTGAATGWTATAATGATTTCAGCTGAGGAGCTTTAAAAATGTGACATTCACACTGAGTTAAGAACTCTGTCTTTTCTAGTTGCTCTGTTTAATGAATTCCACAGCCTCTCTGTGAGCTTGAAGCAATATGAACAGCAATGAAAAATTTCAAAGCTAATAAAATCTGTGCTTCTTTCATCTGTACTACAGAGGAGAGCATTAAGGACAGCCTCTGAAAAACTCAGGAATCGTTCCTCTTTTTCTACCAATGTTGTATACAACACTCCAGGAACCCGAGTAAACAGATATATCAGTCGCTTGATAGAGGCCCGGCAAACTGAGTCCGAGATGGCTGACTTGAACTTCATTACCCTGAAGTATAAGCAAATTGAGCGTGAAAATAAAGTAAGGGGGTTTAAAATTATTTTTACTAATTTCACTGACCATGAGCCAACTAATATCGGGGGTTGTATGTGTTTAATGCAACGTTTAAGTTCCACTCAATATCTTTAAATACTCCAGTGGACTGTCTCTCAGTTAAGAGGAAACACTTGAAGAGGATAAAAAGAAAGATTGGTATTGTCCTACTTATCAAGATCCTACTCCATGCTATATATTCTGTGTTTTGGTTTTTCTTTTGCTTCTCCAAACTGCCTGAGTCACCTGTTTAATGCTGTTTCATTGGGATATGTCTGCCTRCTCACTCATCTGCTCTGGAGAAGTATTAATAACAAGAAGATGCATAGGTAGCCTGAGAAGCATTGATCCAGAAAGTCTAGAAAATGGATTAAAAAAAAATTAAATCTCTGGACAATATTATAATCTTATACCAGCATGACTCTTCTGAAAGCAGGGGATTTACTCCAGGCTTAAAAGCATGCATATGAACTAACAATTATTCCTATCTTGTAGGGTCAGGGTTTTTTTTTTTTGTTTTGTTTTGTGGTTTTTTTTTTTAACGAATACAAATTGTTTGTATTTATAGCCTTTAGTTCATGTGTTTGAAAAAGCAAAAGTGTTATGGTTTTGAATTAATTTGGCAGTAGCATTTATTTTTCCACTGTAAATCTCTTTACAGTCTAAGATTTCATGTCGCTACTCTTTCAGTTAAAAGGCTGTGTGCCATAAAGGACCAAAAGTTTCTAAGATTTTGAGTATAAATTATGATTTCAAGTTTCCAAAGTAATTAATTATTTGAYTGTAATATTTTCTTTTCAAGATAGAAAATCTCCTAGTTTAAATAAGATTGAACTTTGGATCTTTCTGAGAAAACACTTATGTGTTTTCACACCTCAAAATCATCTTGTTAATATGGTAGCTTAGTGGAATCAGGGACAGTAGCTGCTCGAAACTGAGCCTAGCTGCCTACATGTCCACTCATTAGTGTCCTGTCCTGAGCAGCTGAGGTTAAGGGGTTTCTTGAAGGCAGAACCAAGGGGTGTTTGGCCTTTTCTTATGATGAGAAAGGAGATTGAAGTGCCATCCCCTTCTGGTTCAAAGTGGCTGAACACTTTCCTGAAAAGATAACCTTATATCTGAGCCTAACCCAATTTTGACTAGTTAAGGGTGAAACTGAAGTCTGTCAAGGAAAATGCTGTGTAGACTTGCCTTATCTGTTTTTTTCATGGAAATTATGATTGTAAACCAGGTAGGGACTTGTTTTATTTTAGGACGTAGTTCTTTCTTACAGAGAATGGACAAGTATGAGTTTCTGGGTATATATAAAATATTTACTGTCTTAATTTCTTCCTTTCTTTAACAGTACTACCAGCTTCAGGATGAGTACTTCACCAGTGCTGTAGTTCTCTCACTAATTCTAGCTGCCTTATTTGGCCTTGTCTACCTTCTAATAATACCACAGTAAGTTTCTGTCTTTTGCCATCTTTACTCAAAGTGGAACATCCTCAGACAWCCTGTCAGGTCAAAAATTAAAGTCTTTGGAACAGGAATGGGCACGTAGGTTGGTATCTTCTCACAAAGGAGATTATACCCTCAGTCTAATTATCTCTTTCATTTGTCCAAAGGAGACACTTTTTAATCTTATTTTTTTCTTTTGTAGAATGACGCGCTTAGAAAAAATCGCATTTCAGTGGTTATTTTTGACTTACTTAAAGTATTTCTGCATTACAAAAAAAAAAGGTGTTACTGCAGCTTTTCTAAACATGTTTGTGGTACTTTGGATTAAGTACTTCAGGTATTGATAGCAACATAGATAAAGCCATACAGAATTTAATGGGAACTAAGTACTGAAAGTATCCATCCATCTGTATTGAGGTCTGCATTTATAACCTTCACTGAGGTTTTTGGTATCAACAGTATTCCTGCATAAACTGCCTAGTACATAGTTTGGCTAGCACACATAACTTGCAATCCCACCTTGACTGGACTAAAGCAAACATAACCGAATGATGTATTTGCAAAGTGTCCTATGCCTATTGTTGAGTGGTTACATAATGATTACTTCAGATTTTGTAAGTTCTATCTGAATGTTTGCTAAATAAAAAGTAATTAGACCACTTTCAAATCCAGAGTTTATAATAAGTAGATAGAATTGTGTGTAAGGTATAAAAATTACCAGTATTGAACTCTTTTCAGATTAGAATATCAAAATATTAAAAATAAACTTTATTCACTTTTACTAATTATTAGGATTTCAGTGGGAATACAACTGGCCACAGCATAATGCTTTTGAAAATGTCATTTAAATTATGGTCTTTTCTATTAAGAAATCCCCAGTCAGAATAATACTTTTATATTCTATTATTTCTGGTTGAAAGATTGAAAAACACTTTTTTCACTTTAATAAAATACAAATATTAATTTCTAATATAGTACCTTTCATCTTAAGAACTCAAAGTCACTGACAAGACTCATCATTTACGTTAACATTTCCAGGCTAATGACTCTGCTGACTAATTGGAGCATTATTAAGAAGCCTTTCACCCTCTTCTGCAGTAAGCTACAGCTGCAGTACATGGAAGTTTTGAACAAGGAGAAACAGAGTATTAGTGTAGTTGAAACTCAAATTAATTTTTATGAATCATATAATAACCTTTTCAAAAGCTACTTTCACTTAAAAACAGCTGGACAGAGATTCAGTTTAAGTCCTGATCTGACAGACACTCAAGCTCCAGCAGAATATCACCACTGAAGGTCATGAAGAAGTTCTGGGTTAGTTAAAAAAGACACCCACTGAAGGCTCCTAAGTTCTTTCTTCTTGTGTTTGGGTGGTGGCTTCATACAGCCAAGTTATTGTTCTTCTTGGGCCCTTCTCTCACTGTGGCACAGATACAAACATGAGATAAATGAAAACTTGGGAAGTATAGGAAAATTTCCCCTCTTTCCAGAATTTGGAGCTTTACATTGCTCCATAGATTGCCGAAGTATGCATATAGATATGGCCAGAGAATGCGAAAGCCAAGACAAGACTTGTAATATGTTTTTCTAATGGGATAAGTGAGATACCACAATATATCAAGGAGGAGGTTCAAACTCTAGGCAAGAAAATGTCATATGAATGTCAGTTGCTGCCTAAATATGCAGTAATCAATGGGCTTGCCATTCTCACAATTTCTATCACCATTTGAGCAAAACCTTCTTAACTGAAGACTCATTTTACATCCCCAGATGGAGTTGATGAAAGTAAGGCTATGTTCCTGTCACCCTAAGCACTCCARTTATGGAGGAACACATGCAATGTAGCCACTAAAAGCCTTGACTGTGAACCCTTCTAATGTCTTATTCTATGTTCATTTTTTGATTATTTTTTTTAAATGGAGCTCTGTTTAGATGCCAACCCAAATGCCTGTCAGGGTTCCGCTCAGCACTAGTGTCAGTATGTGGCTATTGCTGCCTTATAAGATGTTCAAGACATGTCTCCTGTATTCTTTTCTAGCATGCTACTATCCTGAATACAAATGAATTCTTTAGAGGCATGGGAGCCTGCCTCAATTAATACTTGTATTCAGAATCCACAACGATAGCACCCAGAGTCGCCTTCCTATTCTGGGCATACATACTACCCCTCAGAATTCTCCCTGTTCCTGTATCAATAGGAACTGTTAAATGAATTTGAAGTCAAACAGTTAGAAAGTCTACAGGAGAATTGCACACTTCTGCTGTTAGAAATCCTGTGTAAGCAATCTTTCCGCAGTATTTGTCAAGGGCATGTATTTACCTGAATCCATAGCTCACATGGCTTCTGGACTGCCTGGCTTGTTCTCACACATTAGAAAAGAAGGTGTGAAAATCACATTATGCTGTTGTCATACAGCCCTGGTTCCATGGTTGGCATGGGGCCAGGCTGCCCCAAGCAGAAATCAAATGCATCAGAACTGGTGGACTAATTTTTGTCAGCTTGTTGGCATAAGGTGCTTTTCCAAGAGAAGTTCTATGGAGAAAGAAAGTTCTTGGTTTGCACCCCTCTTTTCATGAAGARCAAGCCTATTGTGATAGATCAGAAGAGGCAAGATTTGGAATTTAAAATTTATTACAGCATCTTTGTGAAAGATTTGGCTAACCATTGAGAAAGACTCAAAAGGAGGAGTTGTTGTGTTTCATTAGAAGGCAGTCTGGTCTGATTTTATTTGACTTGATAAGTGTCTTAATTGAATGACCATTGATTTCTGAATCTTTGAGAAAGAGAGATTAGAAGGAAAATGCATCTAGTAACTGTTAACACAGCTGCCAAGGCCAAGAAATTGAGTTACATACTCCCTTTACAAGAGTCATTATGCTGAATATTTTGCATTAGCCTACAATTAGAAAATATATCTCCTGTTATACCAAACATTTGAATTTTGAGGTGCTTTGATCTCCTTGCTGAGGTCAGAGTGGGGGGGACCATATACCGCAGAATTTACTAATTTCTTAGTCTTGAGATCAGTGGACTTTACTGTTAAATTTCCATTGTGTTGATTAGTATAACAGCATGGTTGAGKAGGAGATCCTCCACCATTTATTTAAAATAGTATTTCAGAAGGGCCCCAAATAGCAGTTTGTTCTCATCTACTGGTGAGTTGAATTGCATTACTTCTATTGTGTTTTGATTCTAGGAGTACCATAGTTCTTGTTCTCCTGGTGTTCTGCATATGCTTCCTAGTGGCTTGTATAATGTATCTACATGTCACACGAGTACAAGTAAGTGATTTAAGATTTTGTGACTATTCTTCTTTTTGGTGGCCGTGATATGTTTGTCCTTTCAAGCCACCAGTATATGCTTCACAGATTCATAGATCGAAATCTATGTGCTTTAAAGTTCCTTGGTAAGTAATGTATTAAACACTTAAAAACCAAAGATAAATCGTCTGAAAGTAGACATTTTACATGAGTAAAATTCTACGCTTTCTTTTTTGCTAAATCTTCCCTGAACACCTACTTCTAAATACTGTCTTCAGATAAACTGCTTTAACCTGAGTTTTACTCCTTTCTGACTGCAAAGCACATTAGTACTCCTTTTAATTCCTACTGCTATCTGGGTGTAAAGTCCTGCTAAATTCCCCTCTGTTTTCAAATTTTTTCCTGCCAAAACAGCAGATGTTTTGATAGGAAAGCACAAGGTTTTGCACACACCATCCTTGGCCTTTTCAAAACCTTTAGTAATGATTAATTCTCCTGCATTATATTTTCACAACAGTAGTGATGCAGGACATTTGGTTATTTTAGGGGAGAAATAGGTCTGCCAGATCAGAATAATACATCTACAGGCTAGTTTTCTGATGAAAGTAGTGGAATAATCTAAATTTAGTCTTTTCAGATAAATATCAGGAGAAAACACATACACAATTAATCAACTTTGCTGATTAGCGCACACTAATTTTAATTTTAAAAAATGCCCTTGGCAGGAGAAAAGAGTTTTTTTACAGAAACATAAATAGTATATTAACAGAGTATCAGGTACAGAACAGAATCTTTTTATAAACTTACAAAATTATTTGGGAGTAATTTTGTTATCTTTCTTTTTTTATTAGGGCAGAGTAGTTTTTTATCTGTTCTCCTCTCTCTAGATGGTAGAAATGCAGATGAAGTTTGTGGGAAGTAACTGGTCTTTACATCATTTCCCTGGAGCTAGTACAAACTTAAGAAGTGTTCCATCTGTTTGTCAGTCAAAAAAATTTGTATTTGTTTCAGGTTCTCCTAGAGATTCAATACTATACAAGATTAAATCCAGCACTGGAGAAATAGAGAAATATAAAACCTTAGAATATCACAATTTAAAATTTTGTGACAAAAATTTGTCTTATATAATAAATAAAATTAAATTAATATGGCGTGGATAATGGATGTAGAATTGCAAAAAAAAAATCATTTCCCTATTTTAATCAGTCATCTGGCACTTATTTTCTCTTTCAATCTGCAGAACTGTACACAGCCTGACAGATTTACCTACTCTTCCTCTCTCACATTCTGTCACAGCCCTCATAACACAGCCCTCATAACACCAAGATCTTGACAATTAACAGTGTGATAAATGGAGTTATGGTAAAAATGGAGATAAACAAAACATTCAAAAGACTGCATTTCACCAGATTTTTTGTTCTCTACTGCTGTTTCTGACAAATTCAATGTTTTTATGAATCATGATAATTAAAACTACCCTGGCATTTTACATGCTTGTTATAACAGAAGACGCATATGCCACTCCAAAATTCTATGGTATCACACTATGTTCTCTTGGATCACATTTTGGGGCTGAAGGCAAGGCAAAAGTTGCTTTGGGTATTTTCCCCATGAGAGCAAAATTAAATGCCATCCTAATATTTTGTTTGTATCATGAGTAGACATACAACTAAAATTTCTAAATTTTAATTATAGTGAGAAATAATGTATAGCAGTAACAGTTTCACTTTTGTTGTCCCCAAAACTACAACTGCCATTAAAATACAATAATACACAATAATACACTGCACAACAGTTCTTACACAACAATAACTGCAACTTTGTAATCTAGAGTACAGGTGAAATTTCCCTTATTCACTTCTCTTTATAGGCTACTTAAAAAAACAACAACAGCACTTTAAAAATATTTTAAATATTTTATCTATAAAACATTTTCTTTCTTCCTTAGTGTTTTCCAGGGTGCCTGACAATACAAATTCGTACAATTTTGTGTATTTTTATTGTGATCTTAATATATTCCGTGGCTCAAGGCTGTGTGGTGAGTATTTAAATCAACTATCACTTAAAATAGCATTCTGTTTGAAGAACAAGCTGGTGCAAATCCATAAAACATATACCATATTCTCACCTGATGAATTCCTACTCATTTTATGATTCATACTTGCAGAGCATGCTTCTTCAAGATTAAACCTCTGCTACAATTTGAACTGAGACAGGTTATTGAATTAGGAATGGCAAAGCTATTAGCAAATTACACAGATACCTAGTCAAAACCAATATAAATTTGTATGTCAAACCTTAGCATCATGCAGACTGCTGATGTCATGTGCTTTATGGGAAAACTGTTTTTAAATGTTCAACTTGCTTACTACTTCAGTGGCTAATATTTTGTGACAGACAAGGTATGGTGTCAAAACAAGATTACTGTTTCTATGTGACAATGTTACGCAACATATTTTTGTGTAATAACAGGGGGATATTTTTTGTGCAGGCAGATCAGAAAAGCTAAAGAAATCTTAAAATATTGATAGTTTTGTGTAACAAGAAGAGGGGCTTACACTGTGCTATTTACATGATCCATTCACATCTAATATCTAAAAAGCTTCTGTTGTATGAAGTGAATGTACTCAGTCTGAGCATTCTGGAAATCTTTAGATTAGAAGAGTGTTCAACATAGTGGACTTGAATTCAAATAGCATTCAAATTTCCACCTAAGTACTTGTCATTTGGTTGTCTTGTTGAATTCCTAGCACTCAATTTCAGCATTTTGGCTGCTATTCCTAATGAATTAAATATGTTAGGGTACTCAAAAGAAAGAATCCACACAAAAATAACACACTAAACACGACTGGAAATGCTGAGAAGGCAGATGTTTCAAATCATGCTTCTCTGCGGGAATTTGACAATGTGTTCTGACCATTAAGACATGAGCAATTCTTAGTGCTGAGATGCCAATATGCAAAATATTTCATATTTTGTGTATTCATTCGTCCCTTGTCCTGCCCTGAGAATATATACCAGTCTTATCCCCATGAAATGACTGGGAAGAGGATCCCTTTTCTGCGAATTCCAATGTCCTGAGAGATACCAAGAATTACCGATGTTGAGACATTTCTGGGAATTCCTGAACATCAGCTGTGTGAGTAACACACAGCCCTAATAGCACACAAGACATACATATAGTTCTTAATGTGGACATGAGCCCAAAATGCATAGAGCTTTGAGTGACTCCAGGCTAGCTTCTCAGCAAGCTCTGTTTGACTTTGGAATTGAGGTTAAAGTCTTGACATTACCTTTGTGAATCAGTCTCCAAAGATCTGACTCTTACTTTGACCAAACGACACGTGCACCATTGTTGCCAGTTGGAGATGGTGAAAATGAGAAACAAGACATGGTAACCCCTAGTGCAACTCTGAACAGTGCAAGAAGACAGCATTCAGAAGTTCTGACTTCAACAAGACAGTAATTCGTCAGTTACAACTTAGAATATGTCACAAATATGACCTTATACTTTCCTGAACAAAAATATCTTGTAACCTAAGAAGAAATGTTTGATCAGTAGAAATTATTAGTTCCGGAATAATAATGACTCTAGAATTCTAATCTGTCAGAAGAGGTAGGTATTGAGGTTTCATTACTGGTTGTACAGCAGATGATTTTTCCTGGATAGATTGCAGATCATTGATGAAGCCCTCATGCATGTGCATGTTTTTGAATGAGTTTAGTATGAAAGCATTTTAAAGGATATCAAACAAAATAACATTAAAGGGATTTTTCACTTCACWCTTTCATTTCATAGTGTTAGCCATTATGAGTTTAACTCACATTTTATTTATTGTCTCATCTCTCTAAGTTACTACAACCCCCTGTAAAATACAGGTAAAATACATGGTTCAGTCACCCTTCAGGTTGTCCATTACTTTACAGCATGCTATAAAATTTCATTGTCAGTGATTGGGATGAAATAAAAAGTTCTTATAATGCACTTCAAAAGAGAAGCTTAAGTACAGGGCAGGGCTTATGTGACAGTGCCTGTTAAATCAATTTCATACTACCATTCCACTCTCCCTGCTTTTACTAACTGTTATCCTTTTCCTTTGTGAGAGTTGAAGGTTGGACTGCAGTTAAAACTGGAGCTCTAGGGACTTACACTATTTGCCAGAAATTCCTATCTTCCCTGTGTAACAGCTCTGAGATATGTACATGACATTGTCTTTAGAAAAAGATTAGATTTCCCCAGATTTCCCACAAAAATACACTAAAAAAAWTTTATTTTCCAGTCTAAGGAGGAAATTGAACTCCCTGGATAACAGAAATGACAGGGGTAATTAAAGATGAGTCCTTGTATTTGAATCATATGTGACAGCAGAAGTAGCTGTGAGATAGAAAAAGATATTATGGTTGTTTTTTCACTCAATTAAATATTTTTTATTCTATATTTAAGTAACTGATGTTTATATGATTTGCACAGTCAATAATACAACAAACAAATTTATTTCTGTGCTCTGTACAAGAACCTTTTTCACCTGCTTGGCCACGTAAAATGTTAACTCAAGTTCCTTAATTTAACAGGAATATGCTGGCTTGAGAATCTCTTATGTTTGAGCACTAAGAGGGAAACTATTCAACTAAGCCCACACTTCAATCATTTGCCCTTACTGGCACCTAATTAACAAATTATGTTTCTCCCCTAAAACTCAGTGGAGCATTGCAGGAAAAGGAGATTTTAATACAGCATTGAGCTGAGTGGGATCTCCACAGCCATATTTTTCCAATTAGAAGTGAATTACAGTCAGCCTCCATAGCAACTACATTTCTGTTTATTTTGTATTTAACTTTCTCTCCTTCTCACCTCTCCCATCTTTTCTAGGTTGGCTGCATGCCTTGGGTTTGGAATACTAATTCCAGCAGCTCAATAGTTATAATTTCTCCTGGTGGAACAAATAAAACAATGAATGAACTTCCATGTGACACAGCCCACTATGCTTTCCTTTCCTGTGTAGTGGGGACTCTCACCTTGGCAATATTTCTACGAGTATCTTCCTTGCCAAAAATGATTCTCCTGCTTTTTGTTACAATTTTGTACATAGTTATTCTGGAACTCAGTGGTTACAGAAAAGCAGTGGGGTAGGTATCTTGTAAAACTAAAGGAATGGATAATTTTCTATAGATAGTCACACACTGATTACTTATCTCTGAGTTGTCCTCTAGTATTCAGTGCTGTCTAGGGTTATAGACTCAATTTAGCATAAAAAAATATTTCAGCCATCCTCTGCCCAGCAATTGTAGGATCTAATAGCATCCGTAAACAAGAGATCRGCTTTTGGGAGCTAACAACTGTTGCCCCATTGTTCTATAGTTTTATGCTAATGTACCCCAGCTGAACACACTGTAATCTAACTATGAGATGTAATAGAAAAACACAGTTACAAATTAAACTTCTATATTTCAGCAGCCCTCAACCAATCCAGATTTCAGTCAAGCTTTTAAGCTTTTAAATGTTTTTATGTTTCCTAATTAAAAACATGCACACACATTACAACAATGTATAGCATTATAAAATCCCCAGAAACTGCATATTAATCTAATGCACTAGTCAGTTGTACTGTCACCCATCTCCCTGCCCAGATGAGCCTCTTCAGAAAAGGTTAGTGATTAGGGGGTACCCATGGGTTCTAAACAAAAGATCTGATATTAAAAATATGAAGTTTTAGGTATTAGATCTGGAATAACCCATTTATTTTCTTCTTCTTTTTAAGGGGCGGCTCGTTTTATATGCGTGGCTATGAACCAATACTAGCTATTTTGCTGTTTTCTTGTACTTTGGCACTGCACTCAAGACAGGTGGACTTGAAACTGCGTCTGGACTACCTCTGGGCAGTGCAGGTAAATCACAGGACTTTATAGTATCCGTGCACACAAAATGATGTCTCACTTTTTGATTTGGTTTTCAGATACTTTCCAGGCAAATTACTTGGATTCAGACACTCAAAATTCTTCATGTCTTTTGGGGTTCACAGAGAAAGATTATTTTAGAACTTTTTTTCCACAGACCTATAAAATTCATTTTTCCTGGAGAAGTGATTTGTTTGTTTGTTTGTTTGTTTGCCATTGTTCCAGAATATTATTAATCAAATAATGTATTTATAGTCAAGGTGCATTAGGAATAGACTTTAACAACATAAACTTGAGAAAAAGAAATTAAATCCATGGGTTTGTTTTTTTTTTTTTATCTTATATTACAAAAAGGGATGAAAGTAAATCAGCATTCAGGTAAACTGAAAAGTAGCAAATAAAACTGGTAAAAGCAAATATTTAAACCTATATCATACAATGAAACTACAGAATTCCTTCTCAGAGGAAGATCAGAAATGTATTTAGAGTGCAGGGACCGTTTTTAAAAATATATTTCGTAGCCATCATAATCACGGCCACACTTATGGAAATTATATTAATCTTAACATGGGCATCAGGATATGTCCATCTGCTGCCACACTTCTCAACAGCCAATTCCCACCTCCAAAGTGTTTTACACTGGCCCCCAAGGGATAGAGACAGTTGAATATATGTCYGTTTGGTGACATTTGGAAGTTAAGCAGAGACCACATTCTGTTCTCATCTGCACCCTGTTAACTGTGTCCTCAAGAAGATTGTACAAGTCACCATAGCACTTGCTTTTACACAGAACATCAAGACTGAAACACGTGGGTTACTGGCTAACTGGAACACATCCTTGGCTTCACTGTGTTACATAAAATGGAGAAATCAGTTGTGATTTAGGACTACTATCTTATGCTTGAAAAGGTTTTCTACCTAGCAGTTAAGCTTCCTTGGGATTTCTTGTTTGTCATGATGTCAAAGACTGTGTTCCCCTCTTTAAAGCTTTAAGATCATCTCGTTCTAGAATTTCCATGAACTCTGTACTGCTCAACTGAGTGGGATCATTAATAATTTAATTTTTKTCCTATGGCCAACAGTATTGGTAGCTGCTCTGTCTGTCAGCCTCAGAAGCTTGTTTTGGATAAACTGATACTAGTTTCTGTTTGCTCTGGTGCCAAATACAATTTTCAGATGGAAAAAAAAGAATGCCTGATTTTGAAATTTAGTGCAGCACATGTCTCATTGGACTGTCGTTAACTTTATATGGGTTGGCACACAGTGGAAGTATGTAGCACCATATGATCCATGAATACAAGACCTTCTGTATGTTATTCCTAGCCCTGAAATAGAGTCGCAGTAATGTACCAGTTTTGCTATCCTGTGACCTTTCAATGGACCAAAAGTGAGTTCCAGCATTTTGAATACTTTCCATCATTCCAGCTACTRTGACTTGCATGGCAAACTGTGCATCCTTAATGGAAGTACTGCTTAAAGATTCTTGGTTTTAAGTTAGGGTTTAATTAGCAATGAATTAGTTTTAAAAAATTTAAATACAGAAGTATGGGATGCTCATCTAATGAAAGACCAGAACTGGACTTGGACAGTGCTAAGGGAAGAATATGAACTTCTTCTGTTTTCTTGGAGACAGGTTATATAAAAATACCTAGTCATCTATCATTGTTGTTAAAAACATTGTGCACTTTCTCCAAGGAGAGAAATAAGGGAGATAAGACATCAAATTTCAATACTGTCCAGCAGCATTTTCAGGTACCATTCCAAAAAGTGATTTTCATCTGAGTTCAAATGCCATTTTCAGATCTTTGCAATTGCAAATCGGAGACTTATGTAGTACCACCTCATCTGTGAGCTTGCATGATAATAATGAGAAAGGAAAAACATTAGTTTGGGTAGAAAATTCAGAATTTAGGGATCAGCATAACTACCGTTCTTTGAAATCACTATGCTGGGTAGATTCTTCTAAGGCATGCATCTTAGATGACTTGGACGTATAGCTTTCATATTCTCAATTCCAAGTGGAATGGTGCTCTGCTTTCCACTCTCTGTATTGGCTGTAACTGATATTTAGTCCAAGGACTAATTAACATAACATGCAGAAGTACTGCCCATGATGGATGTTACAGGAGTGGTTATGGTGCTTACCTGTTCATATGGATAAATGAAAAAAATCCCAAAACATTGTCTTTGTATTTGTTATGTTCTTCAGCACAGTAAAAATCTGAGTTTAAAATCTCAGGGAATACAGTTTATTGGAAATCTCCACATGTTAAAGTTGCCTTTGAATAGCAAACTCCAGAGTAGCAGTTGTTTAATAGCCTTTAAGAGGAGACAAGTAAATGTCAGTTTTCTCTCACTGCTGGATGCAGGAGCCCTCTATAAGGTTAAAAGCAATCTTGGTCATGTTTCTCTACAGCCATAGTACTACTTATCATTAAAACATGTTGGCATAACTTGGTTATATTTCTGGTCACAGAAGTTTTACAAAGACCATCAACTTAGTGCACAAGACTTTTGGAGATTTTCTGTTTTGCAAAGTGAGTATGCTGGTTCTTTGTGCAGCCATTGAATTGCATGAACCAAATGCTAAAGCTGGATTCACATTTCCTAGTGGCCAGTTCCTCCTGCTGTGTGAAGATGTGCCAACGTGTCATTTTAGGAGGCTTTAGCATCTCATTTTAGGAGGCTTTTCAATTGCTGGCTTACATCTGGGAGAATTTCAGACTCAGGGGCTATTCTGAAAAGCTTCAAGCACTCTGCATAATTTTAGTAAAGTTCTTTGTTGGACTAATTCTGTMAGAATGTTCTCAGATGAATAAAAGCATTTGTGGCATAAGTGGCAATAAAAAGATTTTAATAGATAATTTATTTCACTTCATTGTGAACAACAGTCTAGTACTAAATTATATTTTAAACAGTGGAAGTATCCTGAAATTATTCAGTGGGAATACATAGATACATACTCAGTGGTCTATGCTAAGGTCTGAGGAACACACACTTCCTCACATTTTTTTTTGCCGCATCAGGGAAAAAAAGTGCTTTGAAGAAGCGCAGTTTCAAACAAGAAAAGCTCATTAAGAAAAATTATATAGTTTCAAGATAAGTTAATCTAATTTCCACAAATCTAGGTTGCATTACTGAAGCAGAGATAAAACAGTAAAATTTATGTACATCATATAGAAAAAAGGCAATTTTTTATGGATGATATGCTGTTAAAACATTTAAATTTGTACTTAGTGTTCACACGTCAGTGGTGTTACAAGGGTTTTTTTCCTGTGTCAAATTTAACCTTTCTGAATATCACAGTATTTTCAGAAAATATCTGTTGGTTGTTTTCTTGATATTTTTAATAGTCAGTGGGAGGAGAATTCCATTTTATGTAAAACACTCTTGAATAATTCTGTGTGCCTCATACAATAATAACTATGAATAACAAATATAGGAGCATTTTTACTTCTTTGTGACTGATAATCACTTTTGATTGTGCGAATTATTTAATARAACTGGTAGAAAAGAAAGAATGGACAAAAATGCAAGAAATAAATTGTTGAAATTGCTAATACTGCCAAAAAATGTAGTTGCTCACTCACCCAGGATTTCTCAAGGGAGGGAAATAAGAATAATACAATGATATGACTGATTGATGCCTTCTTTAGGGAATGCTAGAATATCATTCTGCTGTCTTTTCTAGTCCATTACACTTATAGGAAATATGAATTTTACATTGTGCAGGCAAGGCTTGCCAAGTGTCTTAACMCTTCCACTCAAAAACCTGGCCCTACAGAAATAATGTGAGGGGTCTCTTCCCTATGGCTTTAGTGCCCTCTTCAGGTACAAAACCTGAGATTCCTGTGGCCCTGGTGTCCAGCTTCTTTTTAACTGAATCTTAAAGCTGTATTTTCATGTGGTATCCATTTAGTCAGTGACTTTTCTACAGCATTTTTAGGCTTATTAAACAGGTGATAAAACTACTCAGACCACGTCCCAAACAGAGGATGGGTAATCACTTACCAGCACTGTAAAAACTGGGATACGGCGTAACTATCTAAAATGCAGCAGCTGTTAATTAGATTGATGTAAAAAGTCATAGTACCAAAAACGTTTTACATGTTGTCACCATGTCCAGTGCAAAAATAAAGCCTGCTTTTAAATATTGCAGCTCTGCAAATGCAGTTGGGTTCCACAAAATGATCTAGCTGCCACAAATACCAAACAGATATAAGCAAACATCATAATGTAAAAAATTATGTTGGGCATGCCAATGCATTTTCTTTCTTGTTTCTTTTCACAATAATCTGCCTTGTTTTTTGAGCCAATAACTATTGCATAAATATCATGCTGACAGCTTTCCTWAATTAACCAATGGGAATAGGGGCAAATAGATGAAGGTTTAAATGCCATTTAGCTGTTTGGATAATATTCCCACTAGCAATGTAAATACCTGTGATCTGTGCTATTTTAATCTTTCAGTGCTAAGCACTCCTTCTCCCTTCTCATTGTGTTATGCCTGGGAAAAAAAATGATGCCTATGCATCCTTTAATCTCTACTGCTCAAAGAGTAGGCACTAGACGTTCATGGGCCAGAAGCAGAAAGGACAGTTTCATTGCATTTCCCTGAAGGGCAGAAAGCAGAAAGCTGGAAAAAAAGTCCAGAAAATACCAGTAATCAGCTTACTTCCCTCTCACTTATCTGTGTGACGGGATAGTTTTAGAGTTCTCACTGTTGAACATAGCCAAGTCTTTTTTTRTCTTGTCTTCACTCAGTTATCTTCCATTGTGAGAGATGCAAGGACATTTTTCCTCTTTCTCAAGCAGCTCCTGAGAAATTGGATATATGAGAGCTGTCTTAGGCAGTTCAAAGCAAGAGGATAAATACTCAAGCTCTCTGCAGTAGTACTGGAGGAGGTGCACTTCAGTTCATATTCCTAACAGATCGCTTCAATAATAAAGCAAGATTTCAGGCATGTGTGGATGGGTTAAGGGCAGTCCATGCATAGACTCCATCCAGGGTACCAGAAGCTGTACAGCAGAATTGACCCAGTGGGTGCTCTAAGATAATGTGTCTTTGCTCTTCAGCATGAGAAAGTAACTCAGAAGGAATGCTATGCTAATTTCATAAATGTTCTGCTTCTACTTCTGGGGCTAGGTCAGGCAGAACTAATACAGATTAGTCTTCAGGGCACTGCATTGCCCCACATGGGCATTGTCAGCTCAAATTTCTCTCGGAACACATGGAGAGAGTGCATTCCTCTCCCTCTGCTGGTTAAGAGGTGCTTGGCCCCAAGTAGGTCAGGGGTCAAAAAAAACAAGATCTTGTTCTGCTGTTTGCGTAATTTTTCTCTATTTGGGTTTGCTGCCATTACCCACCATATTATTATTCAAGGGCTTTCTATGACATAAGGGGATTTTACATATGAAAATGGAAGATTTTCTCAAACCCTTAGCATTTGATTAGTCTGACCATGCCCCAGGAAAGCCGATACCCTTGTGGCCAAGCAGTCTGATAGCATCCTGTTATGGGAACCCTTCACTGCTAGATCAGACAGTAGTTCAACTCGTTTTTTCAGAGTCACATGCCAAAAGAGAGATCTCCTTCTGGGCCTCCACACCTTTACCTGCTGGTGTCAACTGCTAGTGCCCTTGAAGATCCCAATTACCAGTTTGTGGATAACACTCTTTATTAATAAAAAAACATGGTGAGATGTTAAGGTTTGAGGATTACTGGTAATATAATCTGACTGCAAAAGTGTATTCAAAGCAATATACAGGCAAGCCCTAATCCCCAGTGTGAGCTAGCTAAAGGTAATCATTCAGCATGCATGAGGTACACTTTTTTTCTCTAGATATCCAAATGGGGGAGAAGTTCAGCCCACCAACTGATCCCAGAAATTATGATCAAGTCTTCTCCCCTTTCTTAACTCACTTTTATATATTTCTTTAGGTTTATGCAAAGCCTGAGTCACATTAGTCATATATGTTACTCAGTTAGGTGTGGACATGCCTTGAAGGTGGGTAACATCAGTGTAGTATCTGGGAAAACCTTGGGATGGGGATATATGTCAATCCGAGGAGGGTGATTTTTTCATGGTCGCTGATTCAACAACAGGACATCTTCCTTAATGTCCCTTGGTTTCCAGCTGCTGTGTGGCTTACCAACTGAGTAGTACCACTGAGTACCCTCCTCTGCAAGGGTTTCAACAGAGCCTGGTTGCAGTATCTCCAKTCCACTCAACCCTCCATTTAATCCACCCTAGATTTTACTGTGTGTGAAAAGTGGGGTGTGCTGACTGCATTCCACCCAGACAGTAGCAACCATTCTTCCCCCTTTATTTTCCATACTGTTATCTTTAATTTTATCTCCAGTCTTTTTCCCACAATCTCAGAGTCCACATGAGTTAACAGTTTTGCATCCAAAGAGGTGTGTTGGAAATGTAGCATTCTGTCATTAGCAATGGTAACATCATTAATGCCTTTCCCTGCTTAGACAATTTTGCCACCCCTTCAGACATGCCTCTGATGGTTTAATTTGAGCCATGAGCTCTTCACTCAAGAGCTCTGATCTCTACTTCTTAGTCATGGCTGTTCCTTGCTCTGCCACCTTTGTTGTTATTCATGCATAATGATGGGTTTACTGAAGAATCTTTTCAATAATTTCTTCCAAAATGAACACTTTGGTCCACAACTGGACAAGGCAGAGGAATTTGATCACACATTTCCAGATCATAAATGAACAGCAGCTGACAGTGATTGAGCAACATCACCCATACAATGGATCAAACTGTTTACTCCACTTACCTGCCCCTACTGGATTCCTTTGATTAGTTCAGAAATCTCTACATTCTGTCTCAAAAGGATATCGTTCTTTAGGATTACATTCTGCCCATATTACATTGGTAGGTTAACTGAGAACCTTAACATTCCTAGGAAGAAAGAAACAAAGAAAGTTCTTGTTCAAAGAATAGAGGAATGCATAAGGGAGTCACAAATGGATATTTTATTAAATATCACAAAGCTCTTTGCCATTGTCAGAATAAAATTTCTTATATTTCAGTATGATATAAAAATGGAGTTGCAAGCTTGGTCTGGATTTTCAGCTGAAAAATATTTTTATTCTTCCTATTAAAACATTTAAATCCTAACAGTGAAACTAAATGCCAGAGGCCATCTCACATGTTTATAGAAAGTGGTAGAGTCAGAGTTATACCAACAAAATAGGGGAAGGACATTTTAAGAAAAGAGCATGTGAAATTTAGACAGTTAAAGAAATGTCAAGAAAACAGCTCACAAACAAGAAATAGATGCTTGGAATAAAAGCTTCAGGTATATTTCTTGCAAAACTTAATTGCTATTTAAAGTTTACAGATATTTCATTTCTGGAATAGATTCTGTTTCTTATAATACAAATTAGAGCAGGAGCTGAGCATTTATTTTAAAAGGCAACAAGTCCTGAMGAATTTATATTAATAAAATCAATTCTCTATCAGAATTCTTTCTATTTGTAAAGATTTTTAAAAATACAGAATAAATTGCAGGGCAAAGCAGACTGTGTTATTTGAATAAAAAAGTTGTTTCCTAAGTTTTGTAATGAAAAATAAAACTTAGCTTCCTGCAAAAAAAAAAAAAATCACATGAAATAATATTGTTAGACTAAGAAAGGCAAGAGGTGACTGATTTTCCTTACTTAGAAAGAAATGGATATTGAGAAATTATGTGGACTTGGTAATAAATCATGATACCAAATGCCAGATATAAATGGGACACCAAGAAAGATTATAAAAGGTTTGTCAATAGTTTATTAAATTGTTTATGTAATTCTCAACAATGCCTGACAATTTGGCCTCCCAGTCTTCTACTGACTGTAATTAGATAAACAAAATCACAGTAGAAGGGATCACAGTAGAAGATTAATGAGTGTGATATAGGAACAAAGAACAAGCTGTAATTTCTGTGAGATTAATTATGCAATACTGATCAAGTATTCTCTAACTGAAATAAGTGCAAGACCAGAAGTTGCTCTAACAACATGGAGCAAATTCCGGAGAAGTAATTTTGCAGATGAATCTACAAAGGTCTAAGCTGGAATTTGCAAACCTAGGAATCCCAAATGAGATCACTAGATACACAATATTTTTCAAATAAGGGGTCTGATTTTTAGAATAACTTCCTATTTTATGGTCCCATGAGTCAAGCACTTGTAATAAGATGCCAATATCTGGGGTTAGGGACCTCAGATGTGTTAACTCCTAAGCACTCTTTCTGAATGCTGTCATTCTCATGAATAACAAAATTTATGTTGCAAAGGAACTATATATGTTTTCATAACATCATCAGCATAAATAAAACAGTTTTTAGAAATGTTAGCTAACTTTATTAAAAGTTTTTTTTTAATTGTACATAGTTCTTAAAGATGTTCAATTTTAAAATCTTTTTGTCTGTTGGAGTTATTGTCTTACCAGATTTGTTTCAATWTTACTGCCAATTACATAGATCTCCTTTAAACACTGCTGCTCCTCACTGGCTTCTCTTTTTTGAAGGATAGATAAATACTGCCGTCACTATGTTGGACTACCTGGGAGTTAATTAACCTCCAAGGCCAATGTGACTTTAGTGGAATTATTTGGGCTTCTTACTCTGTAAACATATCTATTTAAAAGAACAGAGAGCTACAGAAGATACTGATGCACTTAGCTGATCAAACCCTGAAAACAACCCAGACACTTTAGCTTGAATTACTAAGGAGTTAAATGGATTTTGCCTCATATAGAAGTGTGTTACAGGAGAACTGTTCTCACTCTACTTTGCTAGTCTACATTTTGTTCAGTTTTATTCCRAAGTATGAATTAATAGAAGCTATTTGATAGGCTCAGCTAACTTTTTTCTTTTTGGAAAGCTTTTTCTTTTCCTGTATCCCGACAGGCAGAAGAAGAGAGAGATGATATGGAGAGAGTCAAGCTGGATAATAAAAGAATTCTTTTCAACCTGTTGCCGGCCCATGTTGCACAGCACTTTCTCATGTCTAATCCAAGAAATATGGTAAACCAAGATAAAATTTAAATACATGCTGTACAGATGTGTCTCTGTGTTCTTGGTCACCTTTCAGTGTATGTTTTCAAGAATGGCTTGGAAAAAACTTTGCTAATATAAAAATAGAAGCTTTGTAAAAATTTGTGCTCAAGAATTAGTTTGAGATAATTTCTTTTGCTATATGATCCTACTTCTCTCAAGAATATTAATAAAATTCAGAATAAGGGAAAGTTGTCATTCAACTTCAATGTTACCAAGTACCTGCATGTAAACCACTTGGAAAGTCTTCAAGGAGTGAGGTTGCTTTTGTAGTGCAGGATAAAATAGTTCCATCTCCTATTTTAAAACAAAATTGAGAAAATGAAATTATTTTTTCTCATACAATAGAAGTTCTATTACTGTTAAGACTTCCTCCAAATTTTGGCTTACTGTTTCTATGTCTAAACAGAAAAGAAAACTTAAGTTTTTTWATATGGGTTTAATGTCTTAGGTGTTAATTTTCTGTTGTGGTCTTGAGTGAACATCTCTTTCAGCATTATTTTAAGAAGTCTGATTTTCTGTCTAGAAAAGCTGATGGCCTTTTTCCTTGCTATTGCTTAGCAGTAGAATAAGAATTGTAATAATGATGTTTAGATTAATATTTTAAAATAAAAATTATATCTGCTTATGAACTACAGGACCTTTATTACCAATCATATTCACAAGTGGGAGTGATGTTTGCTTCCATCCCAAATTTCAATGATTTCTACATTGAATTGGATGGCAATAATATGGGAGTGGAATGTTTACGTCTGTTAAACGAAATTATTGCTGATTTTGATGAGGTAAGGTCTGAACACTTTGTCTTTTGACCATATCAGTTCTACCAAATTTCTGTCAATGAGATTATCTGCAGTAACTCAGTGTGTCTTGAACTGTTTAATAAAGCAGTACTGTAAACTTATTTAATAATAGTTGGTGTCCACTGGGCTTCTCCAAAGTGTCAAATTTGTACTTTTAGTTACATGACCTAAAATTTCTCTAAGATAGGAAGAGTATCAAAGTGAAAGTTAATGRCATGTTTTTCAATGACCTCAAAGTGGGCAAGCCTCAACTTAGCAAATATAATACAGTTTAATAAATTTGCACATGTTGTCTGATAACTATGGTTGCTTGTCTAAAATATTATGTAATATTTAACAGTTTTATGTTTTAAACAAAGCTTATGGACAAAGAATATTATAAGGACATAGAAAAGATCAAGACAATTGGAAGTACATATATGGCAGCGGTGGGACTCGTACCTACTTCAGGAACTAAGGTAAGAGGATTTTACACAAGCATCTTTTGTAAAGGAGCAATTTTCCTTCAATTTCCAGAGGAATATCAGAAACACTACTAATTCTGTGTGATTATTATTAACTTATATGACTTTTTTACAACATTTGGAATCTGAAATTCAAAGAACAGCTGTAGCTTGAAAAAAAAGACTGCCACACTTGCTTCACTTGTGATTTCACTGTCTGCAGCTTTGGATTCCCCACAGATTGGAGTATAAAAGCCTCTAAATCAGAGTAGTAGTATTTTAAACCTGGTATCTTAGATGAACTTGTAAGATGCAAGGAAAGGGAGACTCTAGGTGTAATGAATTGCTACAAAACTAGCAGAAGAGTATTAACATTCAATTTTTGCGTATATTTTTTTTAATATTGAAATCTGGATATAACCTACAACTAAGAGAAACATCCTCTGCCAACCCCCATCATGGGCAGGAACTTTGTGCTTTGTACAGTGCTGCACTTCACCCTGGTCCCTCCAAATGAGCTCTACTGTTAGTCTTTTTAGCACTTTAATTGCTCAGTTATAAAAAGAGCCAAAGTAATTTCAAAGTTGTAGGGCACAATTCTTCTGTATCCTCCTTACCACCCCTGAATGTTATTCTTACCTTAAGTTACTGTCTTGGAACAGACAATTCCTAGATTTGCAAGGAACATCTGAAAAGTCAGAAAATCCTGTGGGCACTATATTAAATGAATTATATACACAGTACTATGCATGTTAGTAATTACACTAATAAAACTAAATCACAAAAATTTTGTAAAATTAATAATGTAAGAATAGAATGAAAATTAATGTAATCGGTTCACCTCATCTGCCCAGAGTTCCCAGACACGTCTCCCTTGTTCTGATAAGCATGTACGTATGTTGTAGACATATGTTGAATACAATTGTGCATATGATTTAGGCATTGCAAAATAACATGAAATTAGAAGGCAAAAGCAAAAAATACCAGAAGATGCCCTGTGGACTTTCTAGCAACAATTATCCCTGCTAAGTAAATAAAAAACAAGACCACATTGAAATAAGCTGTTAGAATCATGTTGGAGTATATCACATGCAACTAACTTCCTACTCTGCAAAATATTTCCAGCTGGTGTTTTCCTTTGTATCATTCCTGGAAATTTATGTATTACAAAAAAAAAAAGCCTATTTATTCTGAAATGTTTGACTCATGAGTTCTGAGACAGACAAAAAACATTGATCCTTTGATTTTTTTCAGAGTGTGATCTGAGGCAAACAGGCAGTGGCATACTTGTGTGTCTGCTATAAATGCTCTTTGAACTATAATCCTCAAAACAACTGTGTTATTGGTTAACTTTAGCAGTATATATTCCAAAACCTAAACATGTTAGGTTTTGTATAGTTTTGTATTTTGTAGTTGTTGAGTGAAGGCTCAGCTGAAGGCACTACTTTGAGCATATGACAATAATGCATTTTAAATCACTGCAGAATATCTTGTACCATACTCTGTCTTCTTCTTAAATCTTGGGATAAATTTTGATATTTTCTGTACRTATAAAATTTATTTAAAATTCTGTATTCCAGAAAAAAAAAGATCTTGTATAAAACAGCCAATGTTTTTTACTTTAACTTAGGTTTTCAGCTCTTCAGTGATCTCTCCCTACTGTTCATGTGATGCAAATGAATAGAAATTACTCACATCCACATGCCAGTTTCTTCAGCATGCACCTATGTATTAGAAGTCTGATAATTCTGGTTGGCCTGTCATGCACAGGTGATCACTGACAGCTTTCCACATTCTTTGGTCAGTCCCATGGAACCATGTATGTCCATGGGGAGCCATAAGACACTCAAGTGCTTCTGGTCTGCCCTCTGCCCGGAGTGTTCCAACTTCTACAGAAAATCTGGTACAGCCTCTGATTGTGAATCACTAATTTCATCCTAGAATTTGGATATCAGCAGAAAGTAGTGGATAGGTTTCATTTTTCTCTTAACTGAGGATATTTATACATGTGTTAAGTTAAATGATTAAGTTAAAGTTAAATAATTAAATYCCTTATTTTATTGGACTCTTTGTTTCTGCAGCTTGACTCCAGCAGGTGATTCCAGTAAATGCACATTACCTCTATCACAGTGACTTTGCTGTGAAGCTCAGGGAAGTCTTTCCAGTAACTACTCCTCTGATGTTTAAATAAATGCTTACCAGTTACATCAGCAGGGCAGCACACAAGCCAAGCTCTTTGTAGATCTTTTGTACAATATAAATTTATTGTGTTTCACCAGGAGCCTGACTTCACCAGGGTGCTAACTTTGTGGTGTTCTTTCAGTGTAGGTKCAAGAGTTTGCCCTAAACCTATTGAGAGGCATCTGTCACCTGCAGCACAGCCAGTATTTCTCACCAGTCCTTTTTCCTGCAATCCTGAAGGGTATTGCAGGAAAACAGAGCATTCATTGGAYGGCAAAGAAATGCAAGATAAGAAACATAAAGAAGATTAGAAATCAAATAAAACTATGCCCTACTACCTCCCTGCTCCAGACACTGAATATTTTTTCCTTCTCTGTTGGAAATGTATCCATCAGCTCTTTAAGCTTAATTCTTGTACTTCCTTTGTCTTGGTGATTCTGGAAAAGAGTAGCACTAGCTAGTTCACATTGCAAGAAGCAGAATACCAGACATCCAGGCAGGTAAATAAAAATATTCTTCCCAAAAATTGGGACTGGCACATGGATGACTTTCATAATTTTTTTGTTAGCACTTTTATTTTTGTAAATTTCCCAGGCACATGAAGCAACCCTTTAAAACTGAGGTGAAAAAAGCAAATAGCAACCTGCTTCTCAGGTTTGTCAGCCACTTTAAGCACTGAATTTATAAAATCTCACTATCATGGCAAAAACTCAGCGAGCTTTCATCTCATGCCAGCTTCCACAGTCCTGTTGTGCAATACCCTACTGAAACCACACTGATCCTGCATTTCTTTCACCATATCCTACCTTTAGCCCACTTTCACTTTGAAAATTTGTTCATAAATTCGTATTTCTTATTCAAAGAGGGGCAGAACATAAGAGCAGTCATATTGAGTCAAGCCAAAAGTTTATTCTAATAACCAGTCTTCAACTAACTAAAGGTAGATCCTGGGGAAAGGGCATGAGTTACAGAACAAATATGCAAACCTCTCTTTTGCACTTTTTAATAATATGCTGCTTAGGTTTTTACTGCTTTGTATCAAATATTTCTTTCATGAGCTTGAGAATTATATTAGAATCTTGCTAAGTTTCTGAATCCACATTATCCCCTGAAAATTAGCTCCACAGTTTAATTGGACTGAAGTGGTAAAAATTATTTCCTTATATTTGGGATATTATTTACTAATTAATAGTTCAGTATTTCATTTGATCCTTTTTGGTTTTTTCTTTAATCCATTTAGATACATTTTATAACAACTCCCTCCAGCTTGTCTGGAAAGGAAGAACGTAGGGGTGTTCTGCATCTCACAGGATTAAGCCTAATGGGAATTTTGTCAATGGGAACAGCATGCACCCCATGGGAACTGGGAGCTAGCAAAAGTCCCAAAGGGAGAAGAGGACAGAAACTATAGTTATTAATAATCATCAGGCAAAGTAGTTTTGTAAGAAAGCAGGTTATATTCCCTGCCACACTCAAAACAAACATCTGCAGCTCTCTAGCAACAGAACCACTTTACCATGGGAACTTTGCTTTCCATTCTTCCCAGAAATCAAAAAGAGAGAGAGAAGAAAAAAATAGCAGAAAGAAATGCATGTGCTGTAGCTACCATCCAAAGTTTCCTTTCACAAACAGAAAAATTGGTTAGATTCTTTTCCTAAGTCATCTGTTTGAGCTTCTCAGTATTTTTCACTTTGGTATTTCACCTGCATCTCAGTGCCATATAAATCTAATATGCAACATTATTTTGTTTCTAGGCTAAAAAATCAATTTATTCTCATCTGAGTACACTGGCAGATTTTGCAATAGAGATGTTTGATGTTCTTGATGAAATCAACTATCAGTCTTACAACGACTTTGTCCTACGAGTCGGTAAGTCACGTTTGTACCATTACCACAGAAGCAGAAGATGGTTTTTCATTGTTTTTTTTTTTTTTCCTGTGCTGTCAGCAAAGGACTACCTGTCCTGAACTCATGATTAAAACTGAAAATTCTCCATTAGTGAGAGAGCCACATCCATGTAGAAGGCCAGCAGGCTGGTTGGTGTGCATTTGTTTTAAGCAATTTTAATTGTGTACAATTCCAGTGTACATGCACTGGAATCATCTATGCACCCCTAAAGAGGAGCTGCACCACAAGTTTTATATGATATTATTGTACCCAGTCTTGTGGCTTACCCTGCTTTGCATTGCTAAGCTGCTGAAAACTAGGTCTGACTGTATTAAATTGCATCTGCAGAAGCTTAGTTGCATTAAAAATGCAATGGGAACTTTTTGTGCACACATGCTGAATCCCTTTAACTAGTCCTGTTTTCTCCATCAAATCAAATCCTTTGGTCTTTACAACACAACCCTTCCCATTCAATCCTTTACCTGTTATTACATGTCTCACCTCTCAATGTCCTTTCTCTCACTCTTCTTAGAGATCAAATTGCCCACTTTCCTTTCTTCACATATCCTGCTCCTCTCCAGTGGTACTTCTGCTCTGTTCTCTTTTCATTGCATATTCTAATACTGATAGTTTTCTCCAGCTTCTTTCTCGATACATTTTATGGCTGAATTGTGAGAATGGGCTAGACAGGGGGAAAACTGAGCAGAGGAAGATTGAGAAAGACCAAAGACATCAAAAGCAGCAATAGGAGAGTTACACATCTTTGACCTCCTGTACATCCTAATAATTATAAACCCCAAATTCTCTTTGAACTCTGTTATAACTGGTCTTTCCAGGTTCACAAAGGATCAAATATTTAACTCCTATTCTTCTGCATAAATTGCCTAGGAAAGCCCTTGCACAGTCTCTTGCAGGGTTTATTTTCTGCAGCTCTTCAGGGCACTCAGAAGGAGCACCCTCTTTTATCTTCCAAAAAAGGTGYTAAAATCAGTCAGAAATGTAGAATCAAGCTCTGCAGTTTCCCAAAAAAAGATTCTTGAGCCTTTTTCACATACTTTTGTCTTCTTCAAGTGTCTCTCTGATCTGAGTTGTTTAGTACTAACAACCATCATGATACACTTCCTTTACCTCAATCCTTGTATATTCCAGACAATTATTTCTGTTCCATTTGGAAAATGTCCACTAAAAGGCTTTATATGTGCAATTGCAGTGGAATTTGTAGGAAACAAAGATTTTTAACAGCTTGTCGTGTTTACAGCTAAACTCTTCACTACCATTGCTTTTCTTCTTTTCTTTAAACAAACAAAATCCACAGAAGAATCAAATTTTATGCTGTTTATCATATTGCATTTCCAATAAGATATCTCGAGGAATGTGTTTGTTGTGCTTCTAAACCTTTTACAAATGCAGAAGTCCACTTGGCATCAATTTCATCATAGAATCATAGAATATGTTGGATATTAAGGGACCCATCAGGACTGTCAAACCCAACTCCTGGCCCTCCACAAGATAGCCCAAGAGTCACACCATATACCTGAGAACATTGTCCAAATGCTTCTTGAATTCTGTCAGGCTTGTCGCTGTGACCACTTCCCTGGAGAGACTGTTCCAGTGCCCAGTCACCCTTTGGGTAAAAAAMCTCTTCCTGACATCTAACTTAAAACTCCCCTGACTCAGCTTAAGGATGTTAACTTATATTACCCTATGACCAAAAAAAAATTCTATGACACTTGTGTCAAATCCGTTTTGCAGGATTCCTGTCACCCTTAGATAATATGCTGTAGTGTTTGAAACCAAATTCATTGTTTAATTTTAGGTATTAATGTTGGGCCAGTAGTGGCGGGAGTCATTGGAGCCAGAAGACCACAGTATGATATCTGGGGGAACACTGTGAATGTTGCCAGCCGGATGGATAGTACTGGAGTGCAGGGAAAGATTCAGGTGAGTGCATTCTAAGACAACTTTGCAAACTTTACATACCTCCTGTTTTGCATGTGGTTACATTGTCAAGACCACTTAGAAAATGCAACCTTATTGTGTTCTTATGGAGAGGGCAACATGCCCCAGATGACTCACCATCAGAGGTATAGTTATTTTCCATCTTATACACTTAACTCTTTGGAGACAATGAAATCCTCAAAGAAATTATTTCCTATCAGAAGAAACAGAGTCCTCTTCTTCCTTGCACACAGTTGGAGCCAGCCTGGGAATGCTGACGCTATGCTGTAGAAATTTTGCCTGCACAAGACCTATAAGGAAAGGATCAATGTCCATTTGCATCTTATTACATTTTATGTAGCTCTAAAACTTTCTTGGATACTTGGGATTGGAGAGGTGGTGCAGAGAATTTAGTTCTGCTAGGACTTGACTAGAACCTATGGTGTGCCTCTTAAAAGCTCAGTACACTCTTACAGACATTTATCCAAAATACCTGTCTAACCTCCAGGGATTGAGAGGTCTTCTGCAGTAAATTACTATCACTGGAATGGATCCAGCACACAATTTGATAATACTTCTGTTGGATGGAGCTTAATCTGGCTGTGTATGTATTTACCTCAAGACCAGATATTCTGCTCCTCAGATTCCAATTTGACCAGTGATCTTTACTTCTTAAAGAAAATTCTAAGTGAGCCTGAGAGCAGCTGTAGGGGTTAATCCATTCTACCTATGCGTATTTCATGTCAGAAAAGTAAAATGGAGAAGGGTGAGCAATTACTTGAAACAAAAAAAAAGTAATAGTTCTTTTTTTTTTCTGTCTTCAGGTGACAGAAGAAGTTCAGCGGATATTAAAAAGGTGCAGTTATGAATTTGTGTGCAGGGGTAAAGTCAGTGTAAAGGGAAAAGGTGAAATGTTGACCTATTTCCTGGAAGGAAAGGCTGATGGAAATAATTCCCAAACACGGTCTTTAAACTTAGAGCGGAAAATGTACCCTTACGGGAGAGCAAACATTCAAACAAAACTGGGCACCAGCTGTCCATCAGTGTCCTCAGCTGCTAGCTTTGCTGTAAAACCTGGGCTTGGAGCAGGCCAAGCATCTGCCACTCACACAAACCAAACACTGCATTATCTTCCCTCTGTGCCAGCTGTGAAGGAGGCATAGAACAAAGGAGATCTGATTGTGCCACTTTCAGTAAATGTGGAAAGCAATGGTTGCCTGAAATTTTTCCAAGAAGTCAGAGATCATAGGCCATAGCATTAACCAAGGACCACTACAACCCAACCAAAGAGAACTTGGGGACTGTGTAATGAACTCTTGGGATGGAACATATAAGGGCTAGCAATTCTGTTAGGAAAAGTCAAAATGGGATTTTCTGGAAACGAGGAATATTTTCTTGTCATTTTTAAACAGTAAATGAAGAAAACTTAGATAAATGTGCAAGCAATTATTTATGTGTGTGTGTATATATATGGTTTAATCTATATATGCACATATACAAACAGTTCTGTGTAGACTTAATAGAGATTTATAAACATCAAGGCATGTATTTATTTACACATCCACCTGCAGTGACGTCGCAAAGAGATTTCTCTTTCTGTGAAAGCCAGCATTGTTAGGCCTGGGATTAACAAAGCTGCATTTAACCATGGAATGTGGGACACCTGGAGACTCTCCATGSCTACAGCACGACTTTAAGAAACTGTGCTCCCAGTGCATGAGTTAACACAATGGGCACCGTGTTTATGGTGCAGTCAATGGCAGATTAATGAAGATTGGTTTCAGCTAATTACAGAACCCTACATATTTTTAAAAATTCTCCTTGCATGCTCCAAAACCTTCCAAAAACTTTCAAACCATTACACTATGATATGAAGTAGATAAACCACAATGCTTAAATTTTAGGCCGGAGAACAATATATAGTCTTTTCATTTTAAAAAATACAAGAGTGGTAGAGCTTAGAATTTGCTGCCTCTTTGTAGGTCATTTGACTCTGTGCAAGACAGAGGAGCCACTCTGCAAGCATAGCAATATGTTTATGCAATATAGAAACATTCCTTTATGTACAGTGCTGATTTTACTGAGGAGCAGAAGGATAGTATTATTTTAGGCTTTTAGGAATAGCACAAGTCCTGTGGCTCAGGTCCAGGATTTACCATTCTAAACAGCTCAAAGAATAGTCCTATACTGGTGACAAACATGCTGTTGCTAGTTTTGTGACATTTGTATGTTTGCCAACATAATTTTACATCTTAATTGATTTTTAAACTTATGCCACAGTTTTATTATATCTTGATTCTATCCAGACTAACTCTTCAAAGCTGTACAATTATAAAATGCTTTAATTCTGAGAAACAAGCACAGTCAAACTTTGCCCAAATGAAGAGCATTKGTAAGTGTGTCAGGAGAGCAAGGCCTGCTCTTAATCTGCATAAAAAAGGTATATATTTTGCTTGCTTTTTTCTTTACTGCAACCCGCATCATGTTGTTCATAGTTTCATCCTGAAATGCTGATCTGGATGGGAAATGTAGAGTGCAACTCCATACTCAGGGTGGAAGTAGTTGAAGGTGATCCTGCTGAGGGACATTCCATTCCATTCCATTCGGGGATGGAATGTCCTGATGGGGACTCACAGGCTAACCTCACTGGTTTCCAAAAAAGAAGCAAAACTTTGCATTGTCTAAAAAACATGCAAAACTTCCTTTTAACAAGTAAAACGATCCCCTCTCCCCCC